CATGATTTTTTTGAGACTTCTACATCATCAGTGTGATTTTCTTCCGCCTTAACGAAACCTGATGTAGGCAATCAGATACATGCGGTGCTACTGTGAGCCCTAAACTGCAGAAAAATGCGGGATTTTTGGGAGAAATTATACAAATGAAAACATATATATGCAAATCGATATTTAATGTGTTCATTTTTAATTGTTGAAACAATTAAAATTTTCTGGGTTTACATGGTGAAGTATGGTTTAAAGTAAAAAGAGCAAATAATTTGTTTCAGGCCAAATTACAAATCCCTTTTTTGGCCCTTACAGGTCTGGACAAACTCATCATTTCAGTGAGTAAAAGCAGCAGAAGTTCCTGTGTGCCGCTGCTGAAAATGGTCAAAGAATCATAGGTAAGAGTTTAGAGTTGTGTTTCCAAGGTTTCTTGTTCAAGTTTGAAATCATTTCTGTCAAATAATGAATGGATTTCTCCCAAAGAATGAGCTGTGAGTCATACTGATGAGGTCTAACTTCATAAATAAAAGTCTTTACAGAACATGAGGGTTGTTTCTAGTTTCACTGGCAGGGTTATATCTTCAAACACTTAAGCAAAGTGCTGTTTTACCAAACTTTGTGGTGTCCCTGTAAGGAAGTTTGCTTTGTTCAAGCCGGACGAACCTGAAGTGAAGTTGTCTCTGCTTGTGTGTGTGCGCGAACGTAAGGATACTGGGCTGCTCCTGGGCCTGATCCCAAGTCCTCGGCTTTGATGCTGATGACTTTGAAGCCGGAGTGTCGAGCATCAAAGAAAGCGGGCCTGGGCTGCACCCCAGCTCTCCATCCTCAGGGGGAGAGCGGCTGGAGTGCGAGGTGTGACTCGTCGCTTTCCAGAAAAAGACTTCAGGTGTTGCACAGCACCAGCACGAGAGGAAAAGATGAAGTGGATATAAGGACACAGAGCTAAATCCCAGACCCCCTGTGTGATATGATGAGTCACTTCTTGGCTTGCAAACATCACACGCACACACACACACACATATGCACACACATATGCACACACACACAAGACACACGCAAGCATCACTCAGACGTAATATCTGGTCCACACAGATGTGCCCACAACAGACTTCCGATTAAAGTAATGCACAGCCGAAAGCTTTTCCTAAAATCTGATTGGATATAGTCAAAATGGGGGTCGACGCTCCAAACTTTGGAGCACTGTTTCCATGGCAATAGGTTCTGACATCTCCTGTCGTGACGAGATGCTTTTTGGTTGCAAGGACTGGGGGGGGGGTTCGCACAACAAGATTTGAGCACTGACAGTCAAGGAACGCTGTCAGAACATCCTAATAAAAAAAGAGTGAAATAAAAAAGGGGGGGGGGGGCAACACACCATATTTGAAGTCGAGACGTGTGGTACAAGAGTGTGACTGCAGGCAAAAACAATGAACCCATGTGACCTCATCTGAGATGAGGGAGAGAGAGATACACAGAGCCTTTTAGCCACCCACAAAACCCACTGATGTATTTTGATTTTCAATGACGCACGCAGCCCTGAGGAATATTTCCTTAGATAATTGGAGGACAACGTGTTGACAATGAGCCCAACTGAGATTTTTTTCTAGTTTTTGTTTTTTCATCCTCATTAGGGCAAGCTTTTAGGAACAAGGGTTATTATGCCCATTCAGAGTAAATATAGAAATCTGTGAATAATAAGTTTGCTGAATGCAACAAGGGCGCAAGATCAAACGCCAACAAAGCGAGAAATAAATAAATTAAATAATTGACACACTTTCCCTTCTGCTTTCATGCCAGCAGCCCAACAGTTGTGTGTTTTTGGAGCGAAAAATATGCAAGTCTATTTGTTTTCCAAATCCCAGCTGGTTCATTTGGGTTCAGCAGATGAATCCCAGCAGGGGTGCTAGACACAAGAGGGTGGGTGCCAAACCTCACTGTTGTCTTCAAATGAATAGAGATTGGAAATGTGACGTCATTCAGGGGCAAAACCGCAAAGGATTCTGGGAACGAGTGGCAAGCGGTACTAGCGCACGCAGGCTTTCACATGAAAACAGTCACATAGCGATAAAAAGAAACAAAAAATGGCAAGAAGCTGTTGTATTATTAACTGCAATAGCCGGTTGCATGACAGCCACGGGAAGCCGACGGGTAAAGAGATCGGTTGTTATCGGATTACGTCGTCGAAGAGAAATTGTTTAAGCCACGTTTCCGAAGTAACAAAGAGCCTACGGATGGCCTGGATTGCTGCAATTTGAAGACCAAATATATCGTTTCAGAACACTGCAGCTCACATGTTAGTCTGCTCCAAGCATTTCCACAAAGGTAAGTCTTCTGTTGTAGTTGTTACGTAATTTATCGTAACATAATTGTTGAGGTAGGTTACAAATAAGTCTATATTGATTTGAATTTAATTCGTTGCGCTATGCTGCTTTGTTCACTGTGGCTTTGCGGGCCAATGTTTGCCAATTTTTGGATGTGTTTTATAGAAAAACCAGCCTACAAAATGCTGGAATGTGATGCAGACTGGGGCCCCTCTAATCAACCTGGGTCAGACCGAGTTTAAAGCTGCTACCACAGCGAGATTTGATCGGTTGAAAGAGAGCGAGATCAAAACAGCCACGAAAAGTCTGCATATATGTGTCCAAGTGTTGTATTGAAGGAATCAAGTGATGAATAACTGTTTTCCAGTATGTTGTTGTTTTTTTTCATTGTTGATTAGTTTTTCACCGAAGCAGCTAATAAAGCGTGATGGAATACAATTTGCCTCTTTCGTGTAAGATTCTATAATAGAATGAAACAATAATGCCAGTTATAAATAAAGAAAAACTGAATTAATTACAAAACACTCTTTTTTTTTCTTCTATTAGATCTGAAAATGTTGTGTAATTCTACAACCTGAAACAACAAATAGATTGCGTTGGCCTGTACAGGAGATAAAGAACAAAAATGTAACAACAGCGGTGAAATGACCAAAGTAAACTAGACCTGGGCTTGTTGCAGGGATCTGAAGTTACTAAACATTTTGTGAGTGAGGCACTCACACTTCACTCAGGATCATATAATAATAAATATGTGCGTGATGAAAGTTGGGCAGCAAGCTCACATCTTTAGTCCACTCTGTATGCTCGTATGGGTCTCACCCTTTCACTCCTTTGATTTTTTTTTTCCTCGTACTTTTTTTTGGCTTTTCGTTAAGTCTGTCTTTGTACGGACCTGCTGTGTTCTCCGTCGTTTTTTACATAACTGTTTTTGGGGCAAATAAAATGAAAGTAGGGATTAAAACTGCAGAATTGATGATTACTGGTGCTGGAAATGCTAGTGTTTGATGCAGTGTCTTGATGTTGTTGCCACGTGTACCCACAATGCAATGCGCGAAAGTCACGTGGTCTGTCAATCTCATAGGTGAAACTTGAGTGACCTCAGACAAGCCAATTTAGAGAGCGTTCGGGCAATTGTGAATGGCCGATGGAAGCACCTAGCAACACTCGAAGACAAGAGGAGAAAAAGAAAGCAGTGTCCTTCAGATGATACCCGAATGAATATCACTGCTTCTGATCTGAAAAGAGGATATGATCACATTTTAGGCTGGAACTGGTTGGTAAAAGTACCATTAAAAAAAGGATGAAAACAGTCAAACATTCAGAAAATGCAACATAGATTACTCTTATTGTAATCCAGCGTAAAATTATGAAACCAAACTGACTGGATTATATACTTTTTCAGAATGCTAAATAATTAACGGGAACGACAACAACAAATGAGATTCTATTTTGAAAATGAGCTTTTAATGTTAAAAATAAAGGGCTGAAAACATCAAAGGTGGCATGCTGATGTGCATTTCATTAGTGTAATACTTTGCGCACCCCTCTTATTTCTTATTTCTGAAATGCCAAATCATCTTTTAATTTGGAGGTAGAAAAAGTCTGCAGAGATGCATGAAGTCTGCATCTTAAAAGTGTGAGAAATGAGTGCAGTGAAAGCAAGTGAAGCACCACATCAATTCACAATTAAGCTTCTTGGCAAGACAATTAATCTGCGTGTTGAGGTTCAAATATTGAATACTTTTTTTCTCCAGCAGGTGGCAGCAAAACACTTTATTTCTTTAGTAACTTGTGGATGCATCAGGGTATTTTTTTCAGGATTGGGGATCTGGGGTTCCTCTTTTAGTGTTTTTCATTATTTTTTAATCAATCATTAATAAAGAAGATGAGTTACATTAAGACGTGTTAAAAATGTGTGTGTTACAACCTGTCATTGCTAATGTGTAAATGGATATACTGGATAGGCAGTCTTTGGAGACTTTTTAGGCCATGTAATCTAAGCTCATACAGTTTGGCTTATTTGGTTTTCTGACTTCAAATTCAAAGCTAATTTGTTCTTGTCCAACTTTAAAAAATTACTAAACTTTACTAAACTGAAATACATCAATTTCAACACACTCGAGCTGGTTGTCTTAGTTTTACTATAAACACTAAACACACTGCATCAAATTAAGTTCCACAATTAACCCCGACGCAAACCAAAGATTGGCTGTACATTTAAAAGAAATTACTGGCAGCTAGACTTTGGAAGATTGATCTAAATATCAATAGTATTGATACCACTGCTGATAGCATTGATTCTTTGGATCTATCTTTTAAGTTCAGTATGTAGCCCACTGAATTGTGTTAAATAAACTTCAGGCTAAATTATGATCTTCTAAATCACTGAGATGCTCTCCAGCTTACGAGTTTTCTGCTATAGGGTGATGCTTCTGGGTTCCCCCGTAAGGTTTCCTAATGATCTATAAAGCCCACGTCGTTTTTTGGGCACCACTCAGACAGAATCTTTGTTATTTTAGCTTGTGGAGTGTTAGATATTTACAGAGCAATCAAAAGATGAAGCAGATGAACAGAGCAGATGATCATCTGGATCAAAAAGTTACAAAATGTCAACACTATTTATTCCAAGCATGAACTTGTGACCATCAGGAGCACTGCAAGGAAAAAAGATGACACACACACACACTACTGTTTTTTTCTTAGGATGAAAATATAAAACACATGTTCTCTTTATTTGCTGTATATAGATAGATGTACACCACTGGAGATTTGGATAAAAGCACACACGAAAAGCTCATGTATGTAGGGTCAACACATCTGGAGGTGAAAAAAAAAAAAAAATGGAAACGATGTCAAAATTACAAAGATAAAAAACTACCCAAATTCTATATGGTTTCTAACTGTAAATAGTTACATGTGTTGAACTCTGTCCCACATACCAACTGTCTGCAGTTGCTAATAACCTCTGTAATCTGTACACGGGATATTTTGTACAAAATATGAAATCTACCATTTAATAATAGTTATAACACAAAAGTACATTGTATGTACAATATTAGACAAAGCCATTTAGTATCAGACGCATACTAAAGGACACTTGCAAATATAACTCTTTTCAAAGAAACAAAAAGCTTATGTCAAATGAAGAGAGCTCCAAAGAAGCCAATATTAAAGCCATCTGAAGAAGAACAGCAGTCACCAATGGGAGCCAGCACTGCGCTTCAGCCGGGATGGAATCGCTTTCCTTTTTGTCGGGTTTCGGTGAAAGCCTTGAATGACTGTTGTTCTTCAAGACAAACATGGAGAGAACTGAACAGTGTGGTTGCAGTACTATTTACAAATTTGCACATTCAGTTGAAAACACTGACAGAGAGGTTCTGCGAGCAAAGGAAGAATAAAACCACAACAAAACAAAACAAATTTTTAAAAAAAGAACTTGCAAGCATCCAGAAGCAAACACGTGCTCAAATAACGAGCCCTACAGGTTTTGTTTCGTGTTGTGTTTTTAAACTGAAGAGGGCGTGCACCGTGTGGGCACGCAGGTGGAGGGCGGGACGAGAGAGGATCAGACTATGGGACAAATCAGAAAAAGTGGAACGGAAATAGAGGGGCCACAGGATGGAAGAAGAAAAGTTGGGATGGGAAGTGATTTTCCTCTCCTGTATAGGCTAGCTCTTAACAACAGGCACTATGGGGAGGGGACTCAAACACTCAAACAAGCGCACACACACATAGACACACACACACACACACCAAGACAGACAGCATCACGGATTTCAAATGTTTACTAGTTTGTTTTAGTTTCAGTTGTGTTGCGAGTGTCTTTCAAGTGTTATCAGGAAGTGCTTCTTTGCTGAAGTGGTTTGGGGCAACCACGCCATCTCTGCTCTTTAGCCTTGAACTCAAAAAAACAAAACGGATCCAACTACGTAGCTTCAACAAGGCAGAAGTCCAACAATGGACCTGAATACGTTTTTTATGGAAACTACTGTTATAACCTTTGAAATCATCTGACGTTTTATGTCATGCTGCTACTCTGTTCTCAGTTGAGTAAATACCCTCTCCGACTACAAAAGGCACTGTGAAAAGAAAGGCTTATGTTTGACCTCTTCAAACCAAACATGCCTCCTCTACGGAGCAATCTATTCTCTACCAATTGTTGTACAAATAAAAGGATCTTGCTTGAAAAGATTTGAAAAACAAAAAAGACTAAGTTCATTATCGGCACGGTTTCTGCCCCTATTTAACTTCTCTCAACACACAGTAACATCGTGTTAATCCCAAACAACCTAGTACATCTGTTTAACCTCTCATAAGCCTTAAATGAATGATAGTGACTTGTACTGAATGCTAATAACTATGTTAAACACACAATGGCTGGACGTAAATAGGAAACTAAAAATAAATCGACACAATCCGCTCTCATGTAACCGGGCAGCCAAACATGCTTGGGCCGCGGACTCATCGCTGTGACTGATAAAAAAATGCTCTGAACATGTGGTAAACTTTAAGCCATAGACGCTTTGGGAGCCGTGCTAACTGACTGCCTTCAAAATTAAAAGATCTTTTTTTTCTTAAAAACAGGAACTAAATGAGAAAGTTGGCACCGAACTAGGTTTCTACACGGGAATAATGATGTGCAGAAGAAAAACCTGGAACCTCAGTCGGGTTGGCCCTGTTTGATGAACAGCACTGAGTTAAAAGGATTTTTTTTCCCCCCAATCCTTGACACACACCCCTGCTGAATTCAGGAGTGGCCCGGTCCTGATGAATGGAGTGAATGAATGAATCCTAAAATAATAGCAAGAAACAGAACAGTTCTTCAGATAGGACGTGATTTTTTAAAAATCTTAGAGCTCCTAATATAGCATGAAGGGAAAATATAATATAAACAGCTATCTAGTTTAAATTTTATGAGAAAAAACAGCCAATATTAAATATACAGAAAGAACTGACACAGTCTCACCCCACTGTAGATGGCCTCCATTGAGGTTACAGTTTGGGGGCTCTTATTATTTGTACAAGCACCTGACATCGATAAAGAAGAGACGAGAAGAAGACTGCTCACACTCACACACACACACACACACACCAGAACAGAACACCTGAGAAAAATGACCAGAAGGGGGCAGCACAGCACCCCAAAACACAAGTTGAGCGGACAGGGGGAGGGAAAAAAAAAAGAAAAAGAAAAAAAAAACAGAAGAAAAGGAGATTATGACAATTTCTTATTTGAAGTTCAGTATACGGCGGGTTGCTGTGGTCATGCAGGACATCCCAGCACCGCAAGCAAGAACCAGGTGAAGGGGTGAGGATCAGTAAGGACCGGGCACCGCTTGTCTCGCAAAGCCGGACCTGGCTTAGATGTGTGGCTTTAGACATTTTCTGTGTCAGGTGGAGCTGGGATCGTTCATTTCTGTGTTGCACTGGGCTGGACTGAGATACCACAGTTCTGTTTTGTTTTGGGGGTTTTTGTGCTGGCCCTCCGTGGGTTTGTGATTCCACTGTGGATGCTGCTGGTTTATGGTAGGTCTGGGATGGTCTCTTAATGGCCATCGTGTGGCGTCAACATTTCCTCTGCTCTTCGGTGCAACTCCAAAGCTGTGACTGTGGAGATGTCTTTGGGGAGCTCAGATTTCCTCCGCATCAACGGGCGTTCTCTGCGCTGGTCTTTTTGGATCTAGACACAGACACAAAGAGGGATCAGTAAAATCAGAACTAATGCATTTACAGCCCCACTTCATGGACCTAAGCTTCTGCACAGAGGCCCGTTTTACAGGCCGAACAAGATTTTAATTCCTGCAATTTGCTTTCCTTTCAAACCTTTTTCTCACTTACATGACAAAACTGATAAGCTATACAATTCAAAACTGTATAATAAAGAAAAATGTGATAGTGCAGCATGGACAAGTCTCTGGCAATATTGTCCTTTAACACTCTTTGTTCATCCCGTCTCTGTTGTTTGGGTTTGGAAGGCAGACAGGATGCTCAAGTGATTTATGTAATCTGTCTCCGTTTCAGCAGCTGGAATAACCATCTTTGCTCAGGAATTACTTGTGGGGCCAAACAGCTGAGTCATAAACCAAGTTCATTTGTGATTCTGAAGAAATATTTTTTTAACCAACAACCTGCAAATTCACTGTATGTGTGCATTTTATGACCACTGTTGTGAAGATGTGAAGATGCTGTCTGCAACAGTCCTACACCCACATACTTTACACAAACAGGAGTGTGCAGACAGCTTAGAGGTTCTGTGCTGCTCGGTCGACAGCATTCTTCATTTTAGCATTTGACAGATATTAACAAAAAAACAAAGTGATGACAGGACGCATTAGGAGCTGCATCGATCGCGCAGAATTGGAACATCCGCATTCGTCTTTGTGCTTCTGAAAAGCTGCTGGTGGCAGCGGCAGTTGCACAGTAACCACTACAAAGTCCCCTGATAGTGCTGCTGTTTTCACACGCGCCACACAGATATTTATGGGCCTGAACGTGGTTTTTATTTACAGCACAGCTATCGCTAAAACAGTACAGACACACCAAACTGGACGATTTAGGCAAAGTGACTGGCACACGGCATGAGAAAAATGTCGCTAAGCCTGAGCTGCACAGTTCACAATTTTAAATGTCCTAAAATTGCTTTTGTATTTATGTCAACTAATGAGAGAGGCTCCACAGCATCCTGCAAAATGAGCTGTGATTAGTGGAATTCATTTCATATTATTAGCTTTTTTCACTTCACACATTTTCTTCATTATTAACATTTCTTGTAGTTTTCTGCTGCTTTGAAGCAAAATGAAAGAAAAAAAAAACGAACTGCTGGACTGTGGCTGTGTGGTTCCACTTAACATAACCACATTTATTTGTTTTCAAACAAAAATAAACCTCCATTGCTGGCGCCAAAGTCAGTATCAATAAATAAATTAAAGTGTCCAGATTTCTGCTTTTTATGACCACGTATATGATTTCATTAAGACTTACTTGACTGCTCTAACATCTGAAATGTAAACAGGTCTCATATTAAAGCGATATTCATCAAAGCTTGTGCACATTTCAGTGAGAACGTGTGGTACCCCTCAGATATAGGCATGCATATTAAATGTTATACACACTGACCTGTGTGGCTTCCTCAACTACTGCTTTCTTTAGCATGTTGACATCGTCTAGCAGTGGCCCATCTGTCTCCATGTCCATCGGACTTCCTGATCCTATTGAGTCCACATACACGACAAACTGCAGCACAGGAAGAGAAAGAAAAGTTAACCACAAAGAATCGCATTATCCAATATACAGGTTTGTGAGAGGTGCTAGCTTTAAGCAGAACTTTTCTCAATGACTTTAATCCTCAGCTTTTGGACATACATTTCCCCACAATCCATCCTGTAACTTTCCATCTGTTGCTTCCACACATACACAAAAGAAAAAAGGAAGAGAAGAAAAACTAGAAACTCTTTTTCCTTTTTTCTCAGTTGGAGTGTTTGTCAAAACACCAACTGATGTTCATCACCAAAACATCAAACCCTGCTTGATTCGCACTGAGATACCCTGCAAACAAGTGAGAGGGTTGCAGCACTGTGAGAATTGCTAGGTTACTATTTATTTGCTCACCTGTGGGTTTGCCTTTGCTAGATTCTCAATCTTCACCCATGCTTCTTCTCTCTCTTTCCATTTGGCTTTCTCTCTGACACACACAAACACACACAGAGTCCTAAGAGACTTCTTCAAAACAGAGAAGATTTGCTGAAAGATAAACTCATGTTAAAAAAAAAAAAGTTATATACCCAAACTCTTTCAAGTTAAGAGATTGTGGTTTTAGTTTGTATCTACTTAGTCATCTTTTCCACTTCTAATGATGTTTAAACAATGTTTTCCATGACGTTTCTAACACTGTAATGAGAACAAGGAAACTGTAGCTTGCGCTGTATAAATGGGTGTGATGTCTCCCTGCATTACTTACTTGCTTTTTTCTGCCCTGAACTGCTGGGTGCAGTCATCAAACAGTTTCTGGTTCATCTCCATAAAGAGCTTCAGAGCATTGTAAATCAACCCATGAATCGTCCTACAGACACAAAAAGGTTACCACAGGTCACTTGCTTTGCTTACGTACTATCCTCATACACTTCATCATAAAGATAAACAGATAAATGGAGGGGGTGTGTGGGGGGAGCCTCACTTGTTCCAGTGGGTTTTGGAATTGCGGTAAAGGGCCGGGAACATGATGGGGAGGATCTTGGCAGCGTTGTCGCTGATCAGGCTCATGATATACTCATTATTCCAGTAGTACAGCGCTCGCTCTGCTACCTGACAACACAGTTTTTCACAGGGTTACGTGCGTACACAGACAAACAGAATGCACACTGTACGATTAACTAAAACACGCATCAAAATAAACAGGGATGTGGTTCAGACCTGAAAGTGCGGGCTTGACACACATTTGGCCAGCTGTCTGAAGAGGGGTTCCATGACTTTGACGAACTCCGAAGGCTCAATGACATCCAGTATCTCCTCCAGTTCGTTGAGGAACATAACTTCTTTTGGACTGTGGGTCTTTGGCCAATACTTTAACAATGCCATTACCGTCTACGCACACAGACAGGATACCAGGCTTATTAAAGAGGAAGCAGGAATGTTTGGACAGCCGATTTTGGTCAGCTATTAATCTGCTGATGGTGGATTACATGAGCTTACATTACAAAAACTATCAGTAGAAGCAGAAACAGTAGTCAACATATTCATAAAGTAGTTTAGTTGATCTCAGGGCCTTAATGCAAGCACACAAAATCCAAAACACCTTCCAGCAGGTTTGTGAGGACTTGTGAGCGTGTTTATGTTTGCTCCGACCTTACCCACCATAAAACAAACAGAGAATACTGTCTTGAGGAGTTTGAATGACGTATGTCTGAAAAGAGCTTGAAGGTCAATCGATAATAATTTAAAAAATGCCAAAAAATCAATATCAAAATAAATAAATCTTACCGGTTCTGTAAGGGTGCTATCCTTCTCTAAGAACTGTACCACACAGTAGGCCAGCTGGGAAATAAAAGGGAAAAACAGGAAACGGCATTTGTTTTCATTTTGACAAACTCAGAAGTATCATAAATATTATTGGGAGAGAGATTGCACTCAACAAACTACAGAATCTACATAATAAAGTAACATCAAAGATGGCGGCTGTCCTAAATGTTCTAATCAGGCAAAAAAAATGTTGCTGCATTGGCACATGAGCACAGATGTCAGTTTTTGCATGTGTACGCTATTTTTAAACATTAGTTAGGGGTAAAAGGACCAGATTGTTAAGTTGAAATGTGCATTTTTATCCGGTGAACATTGAGATTTAAAGTTGTGACTAACTCCACATTTTTTTATCATTGGATACATGCTTCACTGACAAAATAACTGCTTTGAGGCATTACCTGCATGTCTGCCAAGTGAAAAGACTTTGCTCGAGACATACTTTTGTTACAGCGTTTTGCTTATAGCAGAGGAAGGCAGAGCAAGGCATAAGAAAATTCCTACCTGTGGGTGATACACACTAAGGGACTTGACTTTGTGCAAAGGCAGGAGGACTTTCAGCAGGAATATCTTGTGCTCTTCTTTCAAAGGTAATGCAAATCCATTGATTATGCTGTGAGAAAGATTGTTATTAGAGAAGAAATTACTCCAGTTTACAATAATTCTGCATCTAAATATTAATAAAAGTCTTGAGCCACCACTAATGCTCTTATACATTTCTTCCAAGGAGTCAGCCTGTCATTTTTGAAATGGTCTTGAACAATAGTTCTGCAGGATTTCTGAAGCTCTTTCAAAGACTTTCTTTGGACACTGTTCTTTCACTCATTTTCAGTCCTTGTACTTGAACATTATCAGAGAAATTTTTTTTCAGCACAGACCTATGAACACAAAATAATCTCTCAACTCATGGGATGAACCAGTAATATGTCCATACGTAGCAACTTTGCAAATACCATGTGGCCTTTCAGGTGAACCATTATCTGTTTACTGAAGCCTCATTAGAAATGTTCTAATGAAAATGACAAATCACACAAGGACTGGACTGAAATCAGTGGCAACAAGTCTTATGGAGTGATGGCACCGAAATCTGTATCCTCCACAATACAACTCCATCTGGAAAGCATCTGATTGCCAACAGCTTCATTTTTCCAATTGCATCCAGAGAAGTGCTTTGAATGTCCTTCAAGAAGCCCGGAGAACTATTTCTGAAGACAACTCAAAGAAATCACAAGAAAGCGCAGGCTGTGTTGAAGGATAAAGGTGGCGTTACTAAATATTGACTCTCAAACTTACTAAAACTATGCAAACTCACTTTTTGCCTCATATACTCTATTTCTACTTAAATTTGCAAATGGTATAAATCACTGCACCCTTTAGCCATTGTTCCTAGCAAACTACAAAGAAAAAAAGAGGTAGCTCAACACTTTTGCACATACTGTGTGTGTGTGTGTACGTACACACACATATATATACACACATATACACACACAGGGGTGTACATAAGTGGTCCGCAGGTGCACTCTCGCTATCAAAATAAAAGACGCGCACCAGATCAGAAGTTGCAACGCACGTTTGCGTGCATAAGATTTTCTGGAGGAGGACAGACATTTGTTTAGAACTCTTAAAGATGTCGAAGAAGCTCCTTTAAGCAATTACTTTGGTGTTCCTTCACCTCCAAAGAAATGTCAGAGGGAGTCCGCAAAAGAAGCGCGTATTCTCGGAGAAGTGGTTGGAGGAGGTGAGTTGGCTTCAAACAAATGATGAACGCACAGAGATGTGGTGCAGAATATGCCATGAAAATCCCACTCTAGTGGACCAAAACAGTGCCTTTAATATGTATGCAAACGCATGTTGAAACTTCTTATCTGGTGCGCATCTTTTATTTTGATAGCGAGAGTGCACCTGCGGACCACTTGTGTACGTGTATGTACACACACACACACACACACACACACACACACACACACACACACACACACACACACACCTATATTTTGAGCCTTATACTGTGAACAGCAGCTGCTTTAACAAATCTAAAAGTATCTTACCTGCCTAGTATTTCCAGTAGTTCTGCAATTCCATTATGATGCTCAGTCTCATAAATGAACCTGAAAAAGGGCAAACACACACAAGTTAGCAATAATGTTCCTTTAAAAAAAACAAAAACAAAAAAAACCATAAACAAAACAAGCACCATTAATGTAGCTATGGAAGACACACACTCACCTATAAAATATGTTATTAATCTGTTTTCTAATGTATGCTCGAAGGCCCAGGAACTTCCCATAGATGCGATGCAGAGTGGTCTTTAAAAAATCTCTTTCTCTGGGGTCTTCACTGTCAAAAAGTTCTAAGAGCTGAAGAAACACACACACACACACACACACACAAAGAAGGTTACTGGGACAATAAAATTAAACATAACCGAGTACTACATACAATGCTCTTAAGTGGGCATGTTACAGTTTTTATTGTTTTGTCACATTGATACTATTACAGAAATGCAGAAATGCATGCTCATACTAAACATGGCTAAAGCTTCAAACAATGATTTCAGTGTATGCGCAACTAATCTGAAAAAGCCAAAACTTCAGGCCTTAGGCTGCTTTAGTCACTAAACTTCAGACAAACATTGGCCTCAAATGACGTGTAGGAGAGCAGATATCCTCAATATGTTCTTTCCAGGCATCTGTGCGCACAGTCAAAGCTGTACACGCAGATGCCTCACCCACATGCATAAAGGCAGAGGAGCTAAAACAGCTTGTTTTAGACAGTGCACGAACAGAGGGGCTGGACCAAGCACTGGTATGCGATAAACAAGGATTATTTTGAACTATCAATCATGCAAAGCTTGTCGAGTTAAGAATAAAAATATCAAGGTGGAAATGAGCATCATAGCTCCTCTTTATAGAGAAAGAAGCTGTGCTCTAGCAACATGCTCACCTGCAATACAAACCTCTGGTCAATATACTTTTTGGCTATGTTTGGTTGAAAGTCCGGTGACTCTAAGAACCGCAGGAAGAACTCGTAGACAAGCTGTGGAAGAGGGGCAAAGACTTTAAAACAACAGAAATAGGTGAACAGGCTCTTTCTGACTAAACCATGTATGTGGGTGTGATGCATGTACCTGTAGATGCGGCCACGCAGCTTCTAGAGTGGGTTCATCTTCCTCTGGGTCAAACTCTGCACCCGTGGGGTTGGATGACGGCGGCAATGCCCTAAACATATTCACAGCAAACTGGGAAACAAAAACAGAGGACAGACAATCGGACATGCCAGATAAATATAAACTTGAAAAAGACATTTCCCCCACAGAAATCCAAACCGCTCAAGGAAGCGGTGGCCTCTGCCCTTTTTATTTGCATAAAAACACAATATTTAAAACATCACCATTTCTTTGTTTACGTAGGCTGCCAGTAACCTGTAGTAACAAATAGATCAAATCCATTGGACCATGTACTGTCCAAACTGCCTTTAAAAGACAAGTCAAATATTTCTATCAGCATAAACGTGTTTAAATGTTGCAAAATCCACTTTTTGCCATTTTTTAAAAATTGTCTAGATCCACAAATTATGAGCTGACTACATCCTCTCCTTCCTTTTCCTTCTTGAGCCCTTCGAGGTTAAAACCAACTGAGACGTCAAAACCTGATAAGCACCGCCCCCGGCTGTGAAGGAGACCCGCCTTATTAAATTCAGTATGAGCAGCTGCTGTGGCTAATGTTACCTTTAGGTTTGAGTGTACTCCTACGAGCCACGGTTATGTCAAAATTGGAATGCTGTAATGTAATGAAAATCAGATATTATGAAAAGCAATAAACAAGAACAGAGTGTAGGTTACTGTGTTTCATGTTGCTTTTTAATCAGCCTTTAGATTTGTTTGCTTCTCTCTGTTCTCTGAGCTCGTATCTTCCTCTTTTTAATATTTCAGACATTTGACTACGATGAATCTGTGTATCTGTGGACTGACTGTGCTGTGAAATGTATCCATTTTTCATGCTACATCCACAGCACATATTAGGTATACTAGGCAAAACAAGGCAGTGAGCGTTGATTTGGGGATTGGTGTATATTCGTTTCTTCAGATTAAGAGCAGTGCTGTGAAACTGATTCATCACCAAAAATGTGCAATATGGATAAGTTAATATCTGCAAAATACAGCAGACTCTGTAAGGGGCAAAGACGTTAAAATGTTGTGCAAAGAAAGACCAGTGAAGTATTTTGAGATTACATTTTAAATACACATTGTGCAAACATATCAGACTTAAACTGTTTTTTAACAAGTTCAGTATAATACATAAACTTTGAGGTATTGTTTGTATTAAAGAATTAATAAAAAGGTGGTAGGTGACTGGATATCAACAGTCTCTTGCGCTAGTTGTCCATACTGGCCTATTTCTGTGACTGTACAGACCCCAGACTGTGAACAATCTATTTTGCCTCTGAGACGGTGCATTCAGAACTCCTTTGGGATTCCAGTCGATCAGAGGTCAAAACACTCTCATTCACCATCAGGTAATTATTCCAAGCAGAAATCACTCCTTACTTTCAACAAATAGATCAGGACAACGAAACCACTGTTACAGTGCCATGTAGTGCAAATAATGCCTGTTTAAATAATGATGCTTGAACACTGAGATGTCAAAAATGCTCTGAAATACAGAAACCTTACGGAAGTAAATAATGTGCAAAGTTTTAGCATCAGAATACACTTTATTACCATAAAGGAAAATGTTGTGTCACTCTTTACTTACTTTGATCATAAAAGCCATCAGTGGACTTCAAAGAGCCCTTGTCTTTAAGGGGGTACGGGGACAGGCGCTGCCAGGAGTAAGAGTATATTTTTATGCTGATTTGACAGCTCAGTTGCATTTTCTGCCGCATTGATCAAATAAAGCCCAGGCAAAGGAGGACGGGGGGAAATTTGCACCTTGATCATCTGCAGTTTACCATGTGGCATTGAGGCTGGCCTTTGATTAACATCAAAGGCTTTTTAATTTGGCTTGGGAAAGCAAATCTGGCACCAGGAACACATTGAGACCACGACCTAAGAGGAACACCTCTCCAATCTACAGCAGGAGCTCCAACACAGCTGCACTGGCAACACCCTGATTAAACGAGCAGTTTTCAGACCTACACCATTGAGGGGTACAAACAATTTAGGGTGTGCAATACACGAACAATCTTTAGACGAATTCAAACAAGAAACATGCTGAAGAAAACAAACAGATCACCTGGTTGCATACGAATTATTTAAATGATCTTAAAAGATTTGTGGCAAAAAAAAACCAACTACCAAAATAAAAACTAAAATGGGTCAAGTGAAAACCACAAAATGTTCGTTCCATGCTGCGAAAATGAAACTGAAGAAAACAAATCAGCTTCATCACAAACATGAAAAAAAAGAAAGAAAAGGGAATCTACCGGGTGAGATGGCTCTCCGAGGCCATGTGGCTTCCACTGAGCCTTTTTTCACAATTACAACTTACACAATTTTACAGTAAGAGAAGTGACACGTGACATCTCGCTAACACGAAATAAAGCAATTATAAAGGAACAATGCAGAGTTTGTGTAAGTGAATATTTTTAGACCTAAACTACTAAAACATTCCCCAAACCATATTACACATTGCATATTCTATGGGATAAAAAGCTTTATGAGAAATATCATCAGCTATAGAACCACAGCACTAGTACATCACAGGACATTACAGATTTTAATGTTCTATTCTAAATCATTTAAAGCTTTCATTCATGGAAACACTGGTGGCAGAGTTTCCTCACACTTAAACCTGACTTGGGTGGGAGTCCCATGTATCTTGGCAACATACTTTGCATTTTATTCTAATTTTTTCCTCCGTCTC